GAGGAATCCGAGTGAATTATTTTCCGACACATTAGGAACTTCTCAAGCAGCCAAAAATGTTGTACGGTCTTTTCACACATTTCGGACCGCCCATTGCATTAGTATGACCGTAACGTTTTTATGTTTTGAAAACGAATCAACAGAAATCTATTAACAATCTTATCAGTGATCACACGTATTGTTTCAGAGCTTTGGAAAAGAGTGCAAACAGTTGAAGGACACTGAAAAATGCCAACGACGAATCAGATGAAACTATGCTCTTTGAATAGAGTCGTGCGCCACATGGTGCCACATGGTGGCGCGCGACTTTACACACGCGGCACGCAATATACTAATACCTCGAATCACCTCGATTGATAAGGCTGTTAGGCCGCTCGAACTCATGTATTCGTCTGAGTACGAGCTGACTATAAAAATTTCAACACATGTTTTTCTCATTACCTTTAGTGAACCAGAGGAGCTCTTTGCCTTACTCCTGCAAGAGGTGACTCATGTGCGAGAAGTGTCTACCGACCAATGACCCATGGAGATGGAGGAGCGAAAAGAGGACAGAACAGCAGAAGCGATACAGAGGCAGCGAGAAAAAGGCTTCTGAGGGGTAATTCAGAACTACCGAAGTAGAGATGACCAATCCCATTAGCTTATAATCAAGTCATTTCCTCTTACAAGTGGCTGTTCCTCCAGCAGCCAGACAAAACAAAAAATCGTAAGCGTTACAAACTTGGATTGGTGACGGTTTAACTTCGTCCATCGTCGTGGGTGTCATCATCGTCGATGCAATTGCCGTTAATTGGCCGAGAATCGCCGGAGCCAAACCCATCGTGATGTAGTCGCTAGCTTTGGGAGACTCACCTGAACAGAAAGATTTTATCACGAAATAAGTGCACGTTGCAAGAAACTAGTAGCAAGTGCGGTAAGCAGAATAGGATTGCTCGAAAAAATAATGAATATAAAAATATGAAAAATCGTCCAAGATCGACCTTCTCTCAATCTTGGCATAGTTCAATGTGAAAAATACTATTTACGAATTTCGATTGGGTCACCACTCCAAAAAAAGCAAGGAACATTCTGAATTTAACAACTCAACAGACTTGAGATACACCCCCATTCATGTGTGGTTTATGGGAATGTTCTACTTCCACTTGGGCTCGACAAGGCTCTGAGAAAGCCTCTCCAGTGTGCTTTTCTCCAAATATGCCCTTATGTAGACCATCGTTAGCCTACTGAATTATCCGCTTTCATATTTCTATTCAGAGGAGAATCTCAATACTGGAAACGCGTCCGTAAGAAACGCTTATCGCTTTTTCGTAGAATGAGGCCGTAAAGCTGAAACTGACGACGAATCGTTTGACAGCCTCGGAATTTCGCTGCCAAGAAAAGAAGCAGATTAAGAATTAGCAAATATCTGCATAGCCTTCTAAGCCTGATTTGTACTCCATTAAAAAAAAGAGACTTCTCGAGTAAAGAGCACTTTCACGGCGTTCCATCTTGAAGCAATTTCCTGAATACCTTGTAATTTTAAGTCCTGCAAAATTTGCACTCAAACCCCATTCTGGAGTCTGCAAAATGATTTCCTTTGTTGAAGAAATGGAAGCCTCTGAGCCTTTCAATGCCCACATCAACCAAGATCTCCCCAGTGTAGCTCACAATCGTTCACTAACGGGAACTAGCTTTTCTACATACATTTCTTTCGAACATTTTTGCACATAATGCTGCAAAAGGCTGCAAAACTCATTGTGTTTCCGGAATAAATTCACGCCTCACTTGAGACTCAAGAAAAGATTGATTTAGGTGGCCTTGAAGACATGGGATTTAGCCATCGTATTCCGTTAGCCGGCGACGGGCAGTGGTCAAGTCGCTTGTCGCAAGAAATACGTCACGGGGTACACAGCAGGACAACAGTAGTAAAATTATGTGAAGCACCGCCCTCAGGGCATCAAGCCAAGGAGCATAGCGATTAGCGCGCTGCTGTTTTATGTTTATTTCTGGGCAACATGTTAGTACTCACAAGACATTTTTCGGTAGTCCGGCGATGGCACGGTCAGCAGCCGACTGTCGGTGGCCTGCGGAGGTGGCTCCATGGCTAGCGGAGATGCCGGTGAATGGACGAGTAACCGTGGCACGTCCACAGGAGAGAACGCCGACATTCGTGAGTCAAACGATGCCGGTCGCAGTGCTGAAATTGCAAACAAGCGAAACATTGGGTTAAAGTCTGCAAAATCGGAGGTGGCACGCGTCGTACCAAACTTAGCGTTCACTGTAGCTGTTAGCTAGAAGGGCAAAGCCAATAAATACTTCCGTGCGTTTAGTGTATTAAGTTTTAGTCAACACTGCAGAGCACAAAGCGCAAAAAAGCAGCGTTTTCGCAGCAAGCGACCCTTTCTTCACCCAGAGCAAGACAGTAAACTGAGAAACTTTGAAGAACCTACATGGCGAGGCTTTGACGGTCGAGGCCTGGCATGTCTCGAATGAGGCAGCTCGCCGTCCCATATCCAACAACGATGGCTCATCATCCTGTACTGCTGCGGACTTCTAAACAAAAAAATACAGCGTTCATCGAACAAACTGTATTATACCCTAGGACAAGCACAAATGTAGCGATCCGTGAGGTAATCATCGGCAAGAGACGTAGACTTGCAGCAAGCTTAATGCAGCTGCATTTTTTTCCTTTGAGCAGGCTGCTATCTAGCGCCTCTTCTATACTCTCTGCTCGCTCACGATCCACTACGCGCCTAGTCTCTCATTCCCTTAGCACTGACTACTAGGAAGGTGAGTGAGCCTTTAATCTGAGCGTTTTTGACGGACCCTTTTCCCTTTTTTCTTCACTGCCGGCCCATTCAGCACCAATACTCGCATTCGTGTACAAGAGCCACACCGGATGTGATCCTGAGACATGCCTTTAACAAAGTAACGCTGTAGCTTTAGGTGCAAGCTCTCTCCATTCAATGGCTCTTCCTAACTGTAGCTGCGGCATAAAGTCATGAGCATTTCCGAAGCTCACCTCACTGATAGTGAATTCAAGAAGGGCAGGGTTCCGCGATGTCTTACTCGTCAGTAGGCGTCGTATTTGTCAATAGACGGATCAAAAACGGAAACACCAAAATCAGGGGCTACGCATGCTCCGAAGGGGTTGGGGGACGAAAAGTCCTTTTGAATTTTCTGTCTTCCCACTCTGGGATTGCCCTCGATAAAAGGGCCTACATTTAATGTATGTATGTAGGTTAAAGTAAATATACACTGAAAATGAAGAAAGTACATATATCGTTCAACTTAGCTCCAAGGAAGCATTAGCATAGGGACCAAGGTGAACCAATGTTGAGGATTTCATGCGGCAGCCGTTTCAAAACCATTCATTTGGCACGGCAGTTCTATTAATGGCCCGCCCTGTAGAATATTTTGTACCACGGACATGGGAAGTCATTGAGTTAATGTCACGGTCCACTCTCGCCTCCGAAATTTTGTGGATTAACGCAATTCGTTTGGCAGCGGCAGTAGTTGGAACTGGCTGAACAAGTTAGCGTTTTCCTCTTGATTTGATATCCCCCTTAGTGTATGACGTAAAATTGTAACGAGAAACTTAGCATGAGAATTAAGATGTGATTGACCGAAGAGCCACCCTAAGCAACTTGTTACTAAGAAGCATTTTATTCTCTTCTCATATGCCCCAAGAGCTTGCGATGAAATCGGAAACAAAGTCCGCTCGAATTCAAGAGAGTTAGCGGCCTTCAACGCCGGCCACATCCATGCTTCAGTAGCTCTGCATTTCAAGGCAGGACTCACGATGGAGCTTCGACGTAAATTTTTTGCTGAACAAGTGCAACTTTTCTCGAATACTCAAAAGATTGCACGCAAAAGTATCAAAAGAGGATTACGTGAAAACGACGAAAAGGCAATTTTTGTGAATTTCTTCACAGCATTTTCTTTGAAACAGCTAGAAAATGATGGAGGAGATATTGGTGGCGCTCACCACGCGTGTGTGTTGAGATCAAATCCCGGATTGCACAGTGTCCAGGCCAAGGGGGCCGTCCACCTTTCTAAGAAGCAGCTATTTTTATCAGAATTGTGGGGGAAGATAAGAACACAGACTTGTACATCGGCGGGCCCACGCAATCCATGGTATGGACCAAATGCATTCAATTGCAACTACGATTCCGAATGAAAGCGGAGTGTACGGCGTATATCAAAAAGCGATTAATCAACCTGTAATGTGTTCACGTGTCTTTCAATCCATTCGGGCAAGCTTTGGTTTACCACTTTACGAGGAATTGAAAGCACTTACCAAGCTGCGCTTTCTCCCTTTAGTTATGTTAAGGGCAAGATTTGCATTTTGGGATTGGCCTTTAGCCATGTCTCACTAATTTGAGACCAAGGTTTGTGATAAAGCCAAGTATCCGCCTTGTGGCACTATTTAGTGAGTTGGTGCCCCATTCCCACCTCAGCGGTGATACACCTGCACCAAAGAAGCTTATTGTGGCACACCTCTTCATCGTGGATGATTCATGGAAGCATACCTCATGGAACTTCAAAGCCAAGATCGAGTAAACCAGTCAAAACATTCGCAAGTGAATTTTCCACCTGTTCCAGGAGTCATTTATGGTAGTAAGCTCGATCCGTGTTAATATAGCTTGTAAACACAATACTCACCTTTAATGAGCGATTCCGCGGCCGTGATGCAGCTCGCGCCGAATCTTCTGGAGCAGACAGCTTGGCTGGAAGATCAATAATAGATTTTGGTTAGAAAAAGCAAAAAAGAAATAATAAGAAATCAGGAAGTGCATACGAAAAGTTCATTGCAAAAGCAATAAAACAAAGGAAGAAGTAAGCAATGCGACATGTTGAAAACAATTTGGTGAAAAATCCAGGG